ATGCAGACCAGTCAGATGTTTCAACAACAACAAAAAAAACATGCAGTTCATCCTCACCTAGTGCTGACAATTCTTGATCTCCCTTACCCTTTTCTCCACCATTTCTACTGTTATTACAAGTTCTTTCACTTCAGCTTTTTTATTCTTATCTACCTCCTTTATCCAAGCTGCATTCTTATATTTCTTCGGGTTGTCTCATAGCTGCACCCAGAACTACACTGTTTCTTCTTTGTCAGGTGTTGACTGGTTCATTGCAGTCTCTCCATTGATGAATTAGTAAAAACATTTCTGATTCCACTGAAATTGGAGATTCTACCTGTAGCATACAATTCAAACTTCGTATCTGCTGGTCTTCTTGACTATGGCTGTTATTTGCTGCTTTATTATTTCCAGTGCTTCCTTGATCTTGTTTCTAGGTGATATTTCTTGATGAGGTAGTCTTTGGTCTTTTTGTTCTTCAGCTACTTTTCTTTCATGTGTTCTAGCTTACTTGCATCTGATTTTAGTATGCTGATCTTATTTTCAACCTGATTTCTTCCATTTTGGTGGTGCACTGTTTGGCTTTTTTTTTTGTTTGTTGATTTTGCATCCAAGGTATTCAGTTATAACTGCAGCCGTGCTTTACATTACAGGTTTGTCTCTTGCAGTGAACTGGTGCTTATATTTGATATTACAATATTGGCATCATTTAATACTTGTGCTGTTTCTTTGTAACAAGCTTCAAATATTATTGAATAATAATAATAATAATAATAATAATAATTATTATTTAATAATTGATTTTAAATTAGTGACTGTCTCCTGACTCAGGTGGGATAAATAATTTAAACAGGGTATATACTATAAAATACTTACACAAAATCATAATCATAACCTGTTAGGATGGGGATATGAACTGCTTGTTTTTTAACCTGCTGAAGGTAAAAGGAGATGGGAAAGAGTTGTCTGGATTGTATCAGGAATGCCCTTAAGAACATTTCACACTAAATATTTATGTCAGCAAATACAGAACACTAACAGAAAGTAGCAAGAAATCAAGGAAGGAAGAAAAAATGACTAAGGAGTTCATCTTTGTAGACACTTAGTAAAAGCTATTTTGAATGCCAATATTCTGATGCTGAAATAATTATTTGGTAAATGACTGGGAAGGGTAACAGTGAATAAACCATTTGAGTAGTATTTCAAAGTCTAATTTTAACTCGACTTCTCCGTTTTAATAATGCCTGACTGTTCTATACATAAAAAATGAAACGCTTATTACAAATTATACTGATTTGAAAATAAAACAAACAAAAAAACCCTGTAATGTATCAAAAAGAAGGTGACATCCTGAGACTCTTCAAAGATTAAATTGCAAGTAGAGTACAGAAATTATAAACTCACCTTCATCAGGCTTGTTCCCGTAACTCTGAAGGGGATCAATGCCTATTTCCTGCTCTTCAGTTTGCAGAGGATGGCTAGCTCCAGAAATGGAATGATACATATTGAGACTTGGCACGTCCTATAAGATGAAATTATCTGGATGAAAAATCAAAAGCAAATGGTTAATCATAACTACCTGCTATTTAAATTGTATTGAGGTGTAAAGACTTCAGAAAATGCAGTATTTCATTTGGAAAATGCTTATTCGTTTATGCATGGCACAGCTACTAATGATTAATCATATTATTAGCTACTAGTTTAGTTCAAAAGATTATGAGAAATGTGTATTTTTACACACACATCTGCTTTATGAAGCATGTCCCAATATTTAATTTTTCTTCACCTCTCATACAAACACATACAATCTTTTAATGACCACTTCTGCATTACACTCAAGAAAAGTTAATAACTACATCCACACAGATCACCAGTTGAGCTTGAACTGAAGGAAACTTTATATTTTAAGTAAGTATTTTGGGGACTTTTGTATATTTTTGCAAGTTTCATAAGAGCTTCTCATCAATTACAAAAAGTTAATTATTGCTTTTGGTGGACATAGCTACAATACTAATTAGCAATTCTAAATTGATTATCTCTATATTCTCTCCCCCCACCCATAAGTTAGATGTGCTAGTATGCTGCTACTATATCAGTTTAGAAGAACAGGGATGTATTCTGGCCCCTTTAACATTTATTGGAAATGAGCTGTCATCATATTAACTTAAAACAGAATTTTCCCCTCCTAAACTAACAGTATATTTAGTTAGGGTTCTTTATCCTGACTGTGTGACTATTCTTTCTTAGAATGCCCTAGTGGTCTATTGTAGGAAAAGCACATAGAGTCAGGTCCAGAAATATTGGGACATCGACACAATTCTAACATCTTTGGCTCTA